AGCCGCTGGTCAGTTTCAGCAGTGGCTGAATCTGGACGCCAGGTCCGACTTACATACAGATTCAAATTTAAATATAGTCAATAGTCTTCTATAAAACTCTTTGAATACAGTTATTTAAACTGCTCGTTTCTATTTCCTGACTTGTCAGTATGTTGCTAATGTAATTACAGGAATTTGTCTTCGTAAAGAGTACATTGTAATGTTAATATGTTTCATTGAAAACAGCGAAGAAAAGAGTATTACATCTGAAAGGTATATGTAACTATGAAAATGATATAAAAGGAAAGAGAGAGAAAGAACACACAATCATTGCCACTGTGACATTTTTATTCCACTACTCAGCAAAGCTTGTTGTAAATAATCAAAGGCTAGGTTGTACAAACCTTGCACAGCTTATAGAAAAAGCTGGCTATGTCAAGTTTCACAGCCCCAGTGAGACTATGTCTAGACTACAAGCCTCTTTCAGAAGCTTTTTGTGGAAGAGATCTTCCAAAAAAACTTCTTCTGAAATAGTGTGTCCACACTGCCGGGCGCGCCCGGGCTGCCCCACTGCAGGCGTGCTCCGCGGCTTTGCTCTCCGTCTCCCTGGTCTGCTGGGGGGGTCCAGCGGCTTTGCTGGACCCCCACAGCAAACCAGGGAGACCGGGAGAAGCTTTTCTCGCCTCGGAGGACACGGGTGGCGACCCGCCGCCCGTGAGCTCCGGGGCGAGAAAAGCCCCGTTCGTAAGTGGATCCGCGTAAGTCGGGGACTTCCTGTACTCAGAATCAGTGTCACTGTCAAATAGAAGATGGAACAGATAGTTTAGCATAGTTAACACATTTTTCAAAGGAACACTTAAGGTGAAGTGGCCCCTTAACTCCCCAGTCATGGGCTAGTTAAGGATTAACCATGGATTATTTTAATGAATTATAAATCCTGTGTTTCTGTTCAGTTCATATTTTGTAGCATCTAGCAAAGATATGAATTTAAGTTCTCAGGCTCTTCTTTTAAAGCTGTTGTGCAGGTTTCCTCTGAAGGCAAGGCTGGAGGGATCAGATACACAGCTGTGGCTTTGTGGAAATTGTAGTAACTTCAGGGCATTTCCAAGTGTGCTCGGGCCCTCTTGCCCCCTCTGAGCAAGCTGTAACAGAATCACTCAAAGGTTAAGCCCTGGAGCTCCAGTTGAAGGTCCTTTTCCTTCAGTGGCCAACTCAGATTGAGCTGCTCTGCTGTCTTTGATGCTGCCCCCAGCATTTGGGGCATGTCCAGTCTGGGTGGACAGGTGGGACTTCGTCCACCCACAGGGTTTTAGCCCCACCTGCTTCAATGCTGGGTATACACACAGCTGTCACACACAACCTAATAATTATGGCTCTGTGTATAGATTTTGAATTTTCCCTTTTTCCTTCACATTCATGGTAAGGTATGTTAGAGTATGGCTACAGGCCTTTTAAAAAAAAACCATACATAGCATGTGTAGTTAGGTTCAAAATTTGAACTTTGTGTAAATTTACCAATATTGTGGCCTTCTAATACAGATTGCAAAAAAAAACTCTTTCAGAGACCTCTTCCTTAGTGCACATAAAGTTTTACATTTTAAGCAGTCACTGCTCCTGCTTTGTTTGAATTTTTAAAGACTACTTAAGCAGAGTTCCAGGACTTTGGCTTCATATCAATGCAATTAAGACCTCTGCTAATGAGTGTGATCCAATATTTATTTCTTCCTTTAATTTAAAAATAAACAAACAGGTGCACTTCCTGCATGCCAGTGGCGCAACAGTGCAGCTCAATAGTATTTTTCAGTAAATGTTACCTTAAGTTGCAAAATTTAACTTTTCATTTAAAATTAAATTTTGTCTTTATCCCATACAATGGTGAAGACCTCTCAAATTGCGAGCAGAATGTAAAAAGATAAGAACATCAGCCCAAGTCTATTGTCAGCCTGACTAACTCAGACATGTGAACTGCATTTCAACATGGTACTAAACGTGAGGCTTTATTATTATTTAAATATCAACATTATTCAAAAATACTATCAGGGAGGAAACAAAATCCTAATTGCCTGAAAATTTTGTAACATCTATAGTTACATATTACCCTATAGCAGGCATGTCAAACTGGCCTCTGGCAGGCCGCATTCAGCCCGATCGAAATTTTTTGCAGCCCGCCACTACATTTTTATAAAAGAATAAAGTGCTGCCCGCTGGTGGCTCAGAGCATGTGGCAAAGTGCAGATCACAGCTGGCCAGCTGCTCTGTGCACAGCACCGCAGTGACTGCTCATGGCCGGCCAGGCTGCTCAGTGCTCCAGTGACTGCCCACGGCCAGCCGGGCTGCTCTGTGCTGGGTACTCCAGCACATGCACATAACTGGCCGCTGTGCTCATGCCTCCCTAGTGCTTGAGGAAGAAATGTGTGGAAGCAGCGGTGGCTCCAGGACCTAGGCATTAGGGTTGGGGGAGAGAAAAGGGGACTGGGAGTGTCTGGCTATAGGGGAGGGGGGGAGGAATTATGTTGGGGGGGGCTGGCTCTGGGGGAGAGAAGGGAGATATTTTGTTAATATTTTGTTATTTATTTATTCCCAAATACAATCACAAAATGTGTATTAATTTTATATCAATAAATATGTAAATCAATGAATATATGTTTATACAAAATCTCAGACTTAAAGTATCTGAAATTTTCAAAGAAGCCTGTTCTATTTGATTAACCACAGTCAATACGTGTTTTTATTTTAACAAAATTTACGTATCATATAAAAAATAAAAAGTATCTTAAATTTATATTTAAATGAAATTTTTATATGAACAAATAATTTTACACATCAAATTACTATTAAAACAAGACCTGAAAAATTATAAAATATACCTAAAACATTATCTAATAATAATAAATAGATACAACTTTCCCATAGAAGTGCATTTTCTTTTGTGGCCCTGAAAGCTATCAGTTTTCGTTTGTCAGCAGGCTTCGAGTTTGACATGCCTGCCCTACAGGTTCCTCTAACTCAGTGGTCCCCAACCATTTGGGGTTGCCGGGCGCCAGGGGGTGTGGCCGTTCGCCCGCCCGGGGGGCGGGGCCCCCCCATAGCCGCATTCCGGGGGCCGGCGCTCTCCCCTCAAGCGCCACGCGCCCGGGGCCGGTGCTCTTGCCGGGCGCCAGGGGGCGTGTCCGTTCGCCCACCGGGCACCCAGGGGGGTGGGGCCCCCCCATAGCCGCATTCCGGGGGCGGCGCTCTCCCCTCAAGCACCGCGCAACATGGGGCCGGTGCTCTCTCCCTCCCCTCCCCCAAGCGCTGCGCGCCCGGGGCCGGCGCTAGCGCTCTCTCCCCCCCTCCCCCAAGCGCCGCGCGCCCGGGGCCAGGCCAGCCCTGAGCACTTGGCGGGCGCCGCCAAAGGCCCCCGCGGGCACCGTGTTGGGGACCACGGCTCTAACTTAAAAGTACTTGCAAAAAAAAAAACTGTTTTTTACAGGTTGTTTATTTTATACATTAAATAGCACTTTGTATAAAGGCAGTTTCTTCTTTTCTAAAAGTACCATTATAAACATCAACAGAGGGGCAGGGAGAAAAACAGAAACATTTTTTTAATATGCTGTCCTTGTTTTTTTCTTTAAAAAAATCTACTTTGACAGTAAAGCTCCTTTAAATCTTTCATTTTTCAGAAAATCAAGTTGATTATTTTATTGTTGATTAAGCCATACAGGGAAAACAAAGTAAATTACAATAAATTGTGAAGATCTGCTCAAGCATCTCTGAAGTGGCGTCTCTAGTGAGTGGAGAACAGGGTTTGGGAGAATCTTTTTCAATAAACTCAATTTGATCTATGAATAAGGATAGGATGTTCAGTATCATTTCTTTTAAAAATTCCTTAAATTAGAGAAATTCCTATTTTTTAGTGAAAATCCTATTTAAAAATCCACCACACACACAGTCCTCTTACGTGATCTCAGGGGCACTAAAAATCTAAATCCACCTCTCACAAATGTTTGATTTAATCTCAGAACTAGAAAATCAAGTTGCCTGTGCCTTTTGTTTTTCTATCAGTCAGCAATGTTTCCCCTTGAAATATGACACTTCTCCTGAGGCCATTTTTCCACTAGACTGCATCAATTACTTCAGTTCAATTAGCAGTGGCAGTTTTACTTGTAATAGGGAGGCATTAAATTGAGCCTATTTAAAGCAGTGCAGGTCTCAATAACTCTATAGTCAATGTAACAATTTATAGTTAGTAATCTTTGTAAATTAATGATCATTTGTACCTAATTTAGAGCTTTGAAAGAGAGTGATTAAAGGACTACCTTTCCCTGTAGAATCAAAATGAAATAAAGGATCCTTTTAACTGCACATCAGGATTTGAGCTAGTAAGAGTTAGACAGCTGAAAGTTTAGGCTGATAGGTTTTGCATTCTAAGATAAAAACAGCTGAGGATAAATGAAACAGAATAGAGCATGGGTTCCCAAACTGGGGTGTATGCCCCCCTCAGGGGGGAGGTGTGAAGAAATTTAAGGGGGAGGGTGCGAGGCAAATCCTTCCCCCCCCCCCCCAATCAAGTTTTGCTGCCCTGGTCAGTTCCTTTTTTGTTTTTGTTTTGCTGTTGGGGGTGAGGGTTTTTCAAAAATCAAAACGGGTGCGTGATGCCGAAAAGTTTGGGAACCACTGGAATAGAGGGAGCATGGATTTAAAATGAAACAAATATCACATCTGAGAGAAAGTGATCTAAAATCAATACATAAAAAGCTACTGTGTTTTTGCCTATAAAAGTATTGGAAGGGAGCTCCTTTCATGGTCTACCACTTAATCACTGCTGGATGATATAAACTATCATAAGAGGTAATATACTGTCTCATTAGACCTCCCAATAGACCCAAAGTTAAACACAGGTTTCCTCAATCTCTTTAGCTATCTCCTACAGACAACATCTTGGATTGACATGTGCCCCCATTTTCTGAAGTTATTTTCCTCAATCTGTACCATATCAATACATTTGCAGTATAGTGAACTTGCAATGAATATAAACATAGTTAAGTGTTTAATCATTTATTAACTTTTTCCCATTGAATGGTACATTCTCTAAGATGACAAACAATTTCCTGGTAGTTTTATTTACAGTCTTCAGCGTGTTCTGTAAAATTCAGTAATGATTACAGACTAAAACGCACAACGTACATATTTTCAAACATTTAAATAGAAGCACATTTTATTCAAAAGTAATTCTACACACTGCTTTTCCCATAAAAATATAAAAAATAGTTTAATTACTATTTTTACCTAAACCAGGATACTTAAGAATTTTCTTTCACATATGATGCCCCCTCCCAAAAAAAGGGAACTCCATCAACAAGAAGTTGAAAAGGAAACTATATCACAAAATTAAATGACTAATGCTGTCTGCTTAAATTCACCACAACAGCAAATTAGTTCTATTTAACAACTTGCAAGAGAGGTCTTGCAATATGCAGGGGCTGTGATGTTTGCTTGCTGGGTTTTTTGGCTAATATGCCTCTTCTAGTTCTTTCACAAATGTGCACAAACTTATGTAAAAATAATGACCTAAGCCAAATAATCATTTTCTACTGTAGACTATAATGCCAGCTACCATGTGCCCAACAAACGTACATTGGCAATCTTACACTACACAATAGTTTTGCAAAAATAGCAAAAGGGAAATATCTTCCTTTTGAGAATTATATTTAAAGGTGACTCATTTTTTCTTACCAATCTTCCAACAAAAATAACTTTTTGCCCTTGCTTTGAAAATAATGCCTCAATTTTATTTATGTTACCACCATTTCTCCAAGTTTGACTCATTTTCTGTGTGGAAAGCTAAATGAGTTCTGGGGGGGAGGGAGGGCAGGAAGCCACTATGGCCCCATTCTTTTTAGGATGCATTTAATTTTATAAAAAAGGCACGAAGATGAAAACTCTTAAGCAGCACCTGTTATTGATCCATCCCCCGAGCCCCTACCCATAACCTCATTTTATTCCAATGCTGTTGTTGCAAGATACATTCTTTGTCTCAGATTGTTATGGTTCCATGAGCTCAGGAAACAGGCAAAGTTGAAAAGACTAGCTAAAGCCTTTGTACAGTACAAATAGCATATGGATCTTAACAAATTAGCACTAATAAGTTTTATGGTGCAATTAAATCTTTGACCTGGAAATCTCAGAAAAGCCATTTGAGAAAAGCTCAGCAGCAAAGTATAATATTGCTCCTCTGAGCAATATTGTGCATTCAGTTTAGCCAGATAATGCTAATGCTATTTACGTACTATGGAGCCAATGGTATTCCTCTTATTCCTCTTCCTCTCTAACTAGTTTACAGGATTTTCTAAAACATACATGAAGTTGCTGTGAACAGAGGGTCAGTATATGCTATATACAGCACAATCTCAAACAAGAAGGTTTTGCTCTCTGGCATGTAAACATTAGGGTTACTGAACTTTAGCTCATATAAACAAATCTGATGACAGATTTTTAAACGAAAAAGAAAAATTCCCATTAAAGGATTAACCACAAAAAAATTTTTCAATAAGTCTCACGTGCCATGTAATACCTTTTTATGTCTTATGAACAAATATGTAAAACATTTAGAAAGTTTTAAACTGTAGAAATGTTAACCAGTTAACTATTTGGCAATAATATATTCAAAACCTCCTTAGAGAATGACATTATCATTCATTAATATCAGTCCTACATTGTCACCAAAGATGGTAGCACACTATTTCTTCTTCCTTTTCTTCGGTGGCTCATCATCGGAGCTGCTGTCTGTGCTCGTGCTGCTGCTACTGGAGGAACTAGAATCTGACTCGAAGTCAGAGGAAGAAGAAGAACTATTTGAAGATAGGGAAGATGAGGAAGTGGAGGAGCTTTCATCACTGTCGCTATCAGAAGAAGAAGAGGAGGTAGAGGAATCTTCACTCTCAGATGAAGAATCACTAGCTGAACTGATGCTGCTATTGCTGCTGGAACTAGTCACGCTTTTAGACCTGCAAGAAATATGAAAAGGATAGATGAGAGATTCTCTTCCCAGTATTGTGGTGACTGAACGGACTTGCTGGAAGTATGGCTACAAAACAATGTTGATTATAATTTTGCTTTTACAGGCTCAAAACATTCTTCAATTGGGCTCAAACTTTCCAGTTGTGACTGTCTGGAGGTGGTATTTTCCCATTTTCTTGCTTCTATTTTGAACAGATATCCTTGGTGTGGACAAGGCTATGTAAGTGCCAAAATAGAAGACAGGTTTTCCAAATTACCTCCACCAAAAAAAAAAAAAAAAAAAAAAAGGAAAGTTCTAGCTCACCAGGCTCCCATTCTATTCAATTAACTGAATGTCATTCCTAATTGGTGCCATGTAGCAGTATTAAACATAGGTTCAGCTTTTCTCCAGAACAAGGAAACTAAATGCTATAATAAGAGCAAGGATACTCAGCTAAAAATCACTAACACAGAAAATTCATAAGCTAAGGTTATAACAATTACATTAACTCTGCCTCATTGTGAGCCCACAGTGGTGGCAAACTGACATACGTGGATCAACCTGTTATAATGTTCTGAGCCATTAACTTCTTAATATAAATCGGTTATCTGTATTTTTCCCCAAAACATGCTTTTTTTCCCTATTGAGGGAAATTTATTTACAGCTGTTCAAAAAGGAATCTCCAGAAAATAAATTAATATCAGCCCCATCTTAAAGTGGTGTTTGGAATCGTGGTAACTGACCACTATACAGACAGTGGAGTGGGTACTTGAAGTAGGCATGTCAACGTGAAGTCGAGTACACGATTAACCAATAAGGCTAGGCTTCTCGGTTAATCTTATCTACAATACACATCCCTCCCTCCACTTGCTGCACAGAGGCAGCCTGGAGGGGGGAACAAGAGCCAGTGCGAGCCACCTGGCCCCCCTGCACTGCTGCCTCTGATAGAGAAGCAGCAGCAGCATGGACAGTAAGGGGGGGCAGGTGGGAGCCAGTACATTCAGGAAGCCAACTTTCAAGCCAGTTCCCCGCACATATCAGCTCCCACAAGCTGCGTCCCCCCTCCTCACACCCTCTTGCACTGGTGCCTCTCTTATCAGAGACAGCAGCGCTGGGGAGAGCTTTTAAGATGGCTCTCTTCACATGCCGGCTCCGTGGAGCTGTGTCCCCTCCCCCTGCGCTGCTGCCTCTCTAACAGAGGCAGCAGCAGTGTGTGGGCTGCTCCATGGGATGCCAGCAGTATTCCCTCAATGCTATGTGGCAGCACAGCTTCACAGGTGATTCATCAGCCCTGCCCAGTCAGTCAGCTAGCTACATGCATGGAGCCTCTGACTGGGCGGGACTGATTAATCATGTGTGAAGATGTGCTGCCGCACCACTTAGAGGGAATGCTGGATGCCAGTGTAGCTTCTGTCCACAGGGAGCTTGGACCCTCCCAAGGACAGAAGCCACAGCAGAAGCATGGTGTGGCAGACGGGAGGTAGTCTGCGTGGGGAGCCGGTCTGTGTGGGGTTACGGGTCTCCTGAGGAGTGGGACTAAAGAGCTGTCCCACTGCCCTCAGGGACTATTCAAATAGTCATGTAACCAATAATATTTTGTGCAGTTATACAACTATTCAATTAATCACTATCTAACATCCCTAACTTAAGGATAATGCCTAATAGCTATTCTCTTCACTTGAAAGATTTTGGGGTAGAGGGTCAGGGATAGGAAGCAGAAAACCATCTACAGTAGAACCTCAGAGTTATGAACACCAGAGTTACAAACTGACCAGTCAACCACACACCTCAACTGGAATCAGAAGCATGTAATCAAACAGCAGCAGAGACAAAAACAAAAAACAACAAAAAAAGGAGCAAATACAGTACAGTACTATGTTAAATGTAAACTACTAAACAATAAAGGGAAAATTGCATATTTCTCCTGAATAGTAAAATTTCAAAGCTATATTAAGTCAATGTTCCGTTGCAAACTTTTGAAAGAACTATAACACTTTGTTCAGTTACAAACATTTCACAGTTATGTGCAATCACCATTACCCAGGTCTTCATAACTCTGAGCTTCTACTGTGATGGCTTTCATAAGATGACATAATATATCAACTTTTATATTGATGGGGAGAGGGGGATAGCTCAGTGGTTTGTGCATTGGCCTGCTAAACCCAGGGTTGTGAGTTCAATCCTTGTGGAGGCCATTTAGGGATTTGGGGCAAAAATTCATCAGGGGTGGTACTTGGTCCTGCTGTGTAGGCAGGGGACTGGACCCAACTCAATGACCTTTCAAGGACCAGGACAGTTCTAGGAGATAGGCAATCTCCATTAATATAAAACTTAAATTTATATAGTCTGTTGGTTTGGTTACACAACAGGGAGGTGAATTGTTGGAGCAAATAAAGACAGTTATTTCATTGGAACAGGAAGAGCTATACATGTGGTTTGGGTAATGTAAGAAAATTAGCTTTACATCATATTCTAGACTTTTTTCATATTTTGTAACACAAGCTTTCTCAATGCAGTGTGATGCTGACTGCCATGTTTGAATAGATGCATTGATTTTGAAATTCCTTTTCAATAATATATCAATTTAATGAGTTTTTATATAGGGCAATCCAAATCAGATCTCTGATGCTGCACATTAGATACAACTACAGATAAGTGTGTGAGAAAAAACAGTAGACTCATGGATCAGAGGAGGCAGAATAAGCCAGAGTACAAGATCAAGTGCCTTGGGGTTGGCAATCTACCTTCCAAAAGAGTGCCATGAGGAAGTAGTAAGGTCCAATGTGGGCAAGAGAAAGCCCAATTCAACTTGAAAGTTAGAGGGCACAGTTGCAGAACTTATGTCCTTTTGTATTTTTCTAGTTAAGCCTGTAGCAGTGCTGCTGGAACCTGAACATTTTCATCTCTTAACTTGAGGATTCAAAGTATACAACATGCTGTACAGAGTATTTTTGCATTTAATTCTTATGGATGCAAGGTAAGTATACCTTTATACAAATAAATGAATATTGTGATTTGATAGGTGGCTTATAGCACATAAGAAAACAATTCAACCCAAGAGTGCATATTGTTTTAAAGGTGATGGGCAAAATAAAAAATGGATTTGTCAATGTAAAAATAAAGTCTGAAAGATTTTTGCCAAAATAAAAGGTGTAGTTAATAAAAAACATTGCCTCCTGGACTCAGTTGAGAGCTCTCCAAGAAGTCCACCAATAAAGTCCTGACATTCTTGATATGCTATGGTTTAAAAAAAAAAAAAAAAAAGGTCTTTCTGGCCTCTATATATCAAAGATTAAATGAAAATGGCAACAGGCCAACATTTATAAGTCCTTTTCAGGTCTCTTTTAAAGGAGGGATTTTGAGATGGGGTGTTCTCTTAAGTGCAATATAGGTAGCTGTTCCAATCTGGAGAGCAGCAATAAAGGAGGCACTTTGTTAGAAGTGGGAGAAAACAGACCATATTTCCACTAGGGATCATCACACAAAAATGTTACTTGCAGATACTGAAACTGAGACAGCACCAAAGGCAGCCTTAACAAAATTCTATTAGCTTCTGGAGGTTTTTATACTAACATAATAACTAAGCTGGTCTAAGTGAGCTCCCCGCAGTGCTAACACTGCTTTTTAAGACCCAGTTTTAGTGTGGATGATAGTTTCGTTTGAGTTTGGATTTGTTTTGTTTATAGTTGATAGAAAAACTTTTAGAGGGAGGTGGCAGTGTGGAATGGAAAAAAGAGAAGGATCAGTAAGATGGGGAGAAGGAACTATTAACTGGAAAACCATAGCCAGTTATTGCTGTTATTTGAAATACAATCATGCTCTTCTAGCCAAAGGAAAGAATATTTCTGCGTACTAAAGGAAAGAGTACGTAGAGAAGGGAAGATCAAAGATGAAAAAGCAAAGACAGAATTAGAAGGTGAAAGACTTGGAGAAACTTCAAATGCTCATATAGCATGACTACTTAAAGGAGGCCAAAGGCAACAAATGTGTCATTTGTAATTTCTACATCCAATATCCCACACACCCTCTTCCAAATTACCTTCTACCATAGTGAGTGCAACATCAAGTACTGGAATAGCTGTAATTTTAATCTTTTCCTACATACCTTTTTTTCTTGGTCTTCCTTTCTGCAGTACTTTCTCCAGTTCTAATTAAGGGGAGGAGAAAAACAATGCCTTTGATTAATTCAGTGGGAAAAATTAAGTGACAGGTGTACAGTGGAATTGATTTTTATAATAGATAATCATCATCCCACTGGCAGAAAAGTAAACAATGGGTTGTAATGACTAAAGTTAAATTAGCATTATTCATTTTCAGCCATTTTCAGCCCAAGAGGAAAACGTTCCCTGTAACTTAAAAAAAGCTGTTGTATATTTACCTTTTTTTATTAATTATGCCATACTATCAATTACCTTCTATTAAAAGTTCTCTATTACATGAAAGTGACACTGTTTGTGTAAAAAGTTTACATTACTGAATATCTGAAATTATTAAAATTAAGTTTTCAAAATGTAATTCAGTTTTCCTCATTTGTGCTCTTTATGAATTTCTCTCCTGTACAACAAAAAATCTATTTTTATTAATAATATCTATTATTTCACTTTAAGGTTCTCATGCATTCACATGCTGATAGAAAATCTGGGTTGCAAATACTGTAGGAAAATGCTTGTTTAACAAAATATTAGACTTCAGAATTAAAAGAAATCTCATAGAGATTTTTGTTAGCCTTAATTTTGGTGAAAACATTTTTACAAAGCATCAGTGTTAGGTCAAATTTGCCATGATCATTCCTCTTTCAATTCATATGGTCAAAGCACCTCAGCCAACAACAGAAGTAAACCAAACTAGGTCTCTATTCTGCATAGCATTTAATTAATTAATTCCATCCCCATTTAGGGAGGTTCAGTATCTGAGTGGTTACAGTCCTCAACTACAGTCCTGAAGGTCCTGGCTTCGAGTCTGACTCAATTTCACACTGTAAGGTTACCTCAAGTCACCCAACTGGTGGAATGCTGGCCATATCACTCCCTTGTATACTGTTGGTGATTAAACTGATATGCCATAACCACAACAGCCCATTGAGCCATTGGCTCCAGAGACCTCTGACTTAACTCATCAGGAAAGCATTTAAGCAGATGTTTAACTTTAAGTTTGTATTTACATCCATTGGACTGAAGTTCTTTCCCAAAAAGCATTTTTTTTCCTTAATCAAGGCCTAATACTAGATAAACGCCCAACACTTAGATAAGTAGAAGCAAAACCAATTCCTGGTTTGTACAATTCAACTGCTCACATTTCATTTAAAGGTCAGCAGCAATGGATTTTAGAGAACTCATCTCATCCATAGAGATTAAAAAAAAAAGAGGGGATGGGAATTAATGTAATATTTTAATGCAATTGTAGCAGGTAATATCAAGGAGAATGGAGATTTGCCTACAGTCATGTAAACCAGCAAAATGCACAAGTATATTTCAAGGCGTCAAACATTCCCACGCAACTGATAAACCATGGGTCTGTGTGTAAGAGGGATGCTTTCCTTACATAATCTCCAGTAGCCATATCGAGGGTTTACTAAATTACAAACCAAGAACTCACAAATTCTAACTCTCTCTTACTAATTGTCCTCCATATTTCTGTGCCTTCCTCCACCTTTATGAAACAGAGCCTTACGCTTCTTCCTTAGGGAAGGCACTTATAATTTGTCTATTTTACAAAAAGCAAAACTGGGAATAGAATTCCTCTCTCTAATCTGCCAAACTACCTTTCAGAAGCAAAGGCCTATATTATGTGCTAGCCTAACCTATGCTAACAGTGTGTGGATTCTTTATCCTGTGTTAGTGGCCAACCCAGACAGAAGTTTATGAGTCTGGTGCTGCATCCATCCTCAGGTGTATTGTGCTGGAGCTCAAAGTGGTAGAAGTTCATAATTTTAAATCTAGAACTCCCAGGTTCAAACTCTGCACATAATCAAATAGAAATGTTATTATACCAGGCTATACAATCTCTGCCATACTTGGCTCCCAGAGAAGACAATACGAATCAAGAATCCTCATACATTAGATTCACAAACAGTTGTCTAACTCAGTAATAAAGTGTGCTGTCTCCCCCTCTATAATCTGCTTGAAAATGGGAATAACTGTAAGCTTTTTCTTATCAGTTATTCCTGTAGTTGACATGGTAGGAGGCTATGGCATAAATCTGAAGATTAAGGGTTCAAACCTGTGTTGGTCTATTATTGCCTTAGACAACCTGACTTGTTTGTTAGTTCAAGGCTATGTTAGATATGCAGTTATGCCATTTGAAAAACTACATCTATCAGAAAATGAAGACATTAAGACTGAAAGAGTGGCTTTAAATCAGGCCCTTGAAAAAGAGTATTGCTTTTACAACCATATGTATGGAATATCCTAGGTTTTAGTTTTCATTTGTTTGTTTTTTAAGATAGTTATTATTTTGGAAGTCTGTGCGCATAGATCATAACATGAGTAAAACAGATTTTTTATCTCATTATCACTGAAGTTATACATACTGATCATATTCTTTAAAAAAAAAAGAAAAACTTCACATGCATCACATCTCCCTTTTATTCTAGAAAATTGAGATAATTTTAAAAGTGCTTGTGCTAAAGAGAAAAAATGTGAATGCACACCTATGATTTTTAAAGACTCATACCTGCCAAATCAAACCCAGTTTACTGCATCCCCACTGAAAGGTCCGTCTGATCAAGGATTAGTCTCATACCAAATTTCACTTAACACCACACTATTTCCCCATTAAACCTTTTAAAAAGAAATATTATAAAAATGTTTTTAACTAAGAAATATTTTCTTCCACTCTGCCCATGATTTAAAAAATGGCTGAACCATTTTTTGCTCCCACTTTAAAAGAAAATTAACCCTTAGTTGGAGACCTTGCATAGAAAATTGTAGCCACAAAGGATAAAGATTCAGAAAGTCATAACCAACTGACAAAGGGAAAGACAGGATTACAATGAAAATACTAAAGACACCTTAAAACCGTCAGCTTCACTTGCTCAGTTGCAGTTGTCTAACCCTGCCTGAAACAAGTCTACACAATTCAAGGTTCAACTCAGCAACAGCCATTAGATCTTGCTTCCTACCATTGATACTCAGTGTATAAGAACAGCTAGGCAGATGGTTGATAGAAAAATTGTATGACATATCCTTTTATGTTCAACACTTTAGAAAATGTCTCAGTTCACTCAGCTTTATTTTCAATATGAAGGCATTTTTAATTAAAAGGGAGAAATGTTTGAGTGAATTCTTCTTCACGGGGGGAAACAACAAAATTCTACCTACAGGGCCACCAGAATTAAGTGAAGTCACACTTCAGTTTAAGGCAAAGTCCAATTTGGATATTTCTTCTTGGCTGCAGGTATCACCTTCCCAGGTGTCTCAAATACCAAAACTGCAAAGCATGTACAGTAAAACTCCATTAGTCCGGCATCCAATGCTCCGGTACTCCTCATGGTCCAGCACCATCAGGAACACAGAAGTGCTTGGGGCAGCCGGACAATTGGAGCTGCTCTGTGCCCGGCTTCCCCGATTCAGCCGCTGCTGAAACTGACCAGCAGCTGAATCGGGGAAACAGGGGGCAGAGCAGCTTGGGTGCTGCCAGGTTGGTCCCGCAGTGCCGAGGGGCGGCACTACGGGACCAACCCAACAACACCCCAGCTGCTCTGCCGCAGCTGCTCTGCCGCTCTGATTCAGCCGCTGCTGAAACTGACCAGCGGCTGATTCCGGGAAGCCCGGGGCAGAGCAGCTGCTCTGCTTCTCTGATTCAGCCGCTGCTGAAACTGACCAGCGGCTGATTCCGGGAAGCCCGGGGCAGAGCAGCTGCTCTGCTTCTCTGATTCAGCCGCTGCTGAAACTGACCAGCGGCTGATTCCGGGAAGCCCGGGGCAGAGCAGCTGCTCTGCTTCTCTGATTCAGCCGCTGCTGAAACTGACCAGCGGCTGATTCCGGGAAGCCCGGGGCAGAGCAGCTGCTCTGCTTCTCTGATTCAGCCGCTGCTGAAACTGACCAGCGGCTGATTCCGGGAAGCCCGGGGCAGAGCCAGACTATCGGAAGGGGGGGCTATGAGGGGTCTGGAGTGGCATCCTCCCCACTCCACCCCAGACCCTTCGTAGCCCCCCCTTCTGATAGTCCGGCCTATCTGATAATCCGGCACCCCCTGGGTCCCAAAGGTGCCGGATTATCGGAAGTTTACTGTTGATCTTTTAATCCAATGAGATGTACACCCAATATTTTTAGGAATAAAGAATTGGCAATACATATGAATCTATGCTTTGCTCCCCTATTTGTTTTTTATTCTTCAAAACTAAATACAAGGGGAAAAACTATGCTCCTGATAGATTGTTAATATAGCAATTTTGTTTTTGTTTGTGGATACATTTATGGTTAGACTATAAAAATGGACACATCTGATACTTTTCTAGTTATGCTTATTGTGCCTACACTGGGAAAGTTGTACACAAATTGTTTTCTAATTCCCGTGTAAACACAGAATAAGGTATATGGTCAAGATACCCAGAAAGCAATGTATCATTACACAAAAGACCCCATTATCTATTTTGACTTTATTCCAGTGATCCATTTTTGTTTAAAAAAACCTGTTTGATCTAAATTATGTGAAGAGGCTGAACAAGTAATCTGTGGATACTGTGGGATACAAATACATGTATATTTCCTATGATGCACATATAATAACTATTAATGGGAATTACACATTCAGGTGGAAGAGAATGAACACCAAAACCACACAAAGAAAACTGACCAGCCTCCTACAATCTCCCATACACAGTTTATACATACTTCTGATAATGTCTTTAAAGCTTTAGCCCAGCTGATCTTACCTTTGTTGCAATAACAGTCTGTTTTCTCTTTCTTTCAGAGCTTTTGCTAATTCCACTGTCCTGGATGGTCTGTGCAGATATTTTCTTTTTCCTGTACATTCATAGGTCCAATGTCCAAACTCTAAACACTTCTGACATCGCACATGCTGCTTGTTTGCCTCCCTATAAAAATACAGAATTTGCTTAAAAGAGATCTGGATTTAAAATTGGGATATTTAAGCACAAACAGCACTGTCTATTGAAAATTATATGATGTATTTTAGCATACCAGTCCTAAGACAAAGGACTTGTTTAATTTGAGGTTGTATCTATATTTATTAAAGCTTTAGCTTTGTCTCAAGTCAGAATAATCCTGCATTTCATTTGGGGCTCCAGATAAACTCATATACTTGCATACAGTCAAGTCCTCTGTGATTACTGGAATGTTTCTGTATCAGTTATTTATCAGAGTGAATACAAATACATTTTTATATTACAGAATTGGAGCTCTCAAGTTTCCCTTTCTGCTGAAGTGGTACAGACTAAACTATAACACAACAAATAGTCTGGTACCACTTTAAAGACTAACAAAAAATGAGATGGTATCATGAGCTTTTGTAGGCACAGCCCACTTCTTCAGATGACTGAAGTGTTGGAAGTCCAGAACCAAGAATAAATAAGGGAAGGAGCGAGGGGTGAGGAAAGAAAAAAATTGGGGAGGGGAGGAGAAAGGACATTATCTACCCCATGTCCTTTCCCTCTTCTACCCCCCGGCCATCCCTCCTTCCCTTACTTATTCTTGGTTCTGGACTTCCAACACTTCAGTCATCTGAAGAAGTGGGCTGTGCCTACAAAAGCTCATGATACCATCTCATTTTTTGTTAGTCTTTAAAGTGGTACCAGACTATTTGTTGTTTAAGTTTTTCCTGTTACAGACTCACTAGCCTACCCCTCTAAAATTACTATGTTTGGCATGTGGTTTGCACATTGGCAAGCGGTTTGTGGACAAGGGATGTTAAATTTTGATTAATCAGCTAATTGAATAGTCAATGGAATTTCCATCAACTACCCGATTAATTGATAAGGGGGGGCATCTGGGAAAGCAAGCGTGAGTAGTCTATGCTTATCAGGTAGTCGATTAGTCGCTTACACCCCTAGTATGGACAGCATTTTGGTTTAAAAATTCCTACTGGTTTGTCCCTCTTTAATCTTTCCTCACTCTGCTGGAGTTCATAATTACTCATTCCCTTCAGAACTTAAAATTCATAAGCAACTACTAGGGGCCTGTGCCCTCTGCTCGCTATGCTCGCCTACCCCCCTCTCTCTGGTTGCTTTCGCTTTGCTGAAAGAGCCTATTGATGCTGACGACGTCATTCCGTCACCAGGCAGGAATATTCTGTCACCTGTCAGGAAAAACTTTTTTATATAGAGAGATTAAAGAGTATGAAGAAGAATCGAAGTGAAGCAATAATTATGTTTCAACCAGCGAACAAATGTAACTCGATTATTTGCAATTTTTGTCCCAACCTAACTGGCAAATATTTTGGCAGCATAGTTTACATTTCTGCACCAACTGCTGGTAATATGGTTACATACATGTAATGTTAGTAAATTTTACCCCATGTTACAATCTCCAGAGAATTTGCACCTGCCTCTCACAGATTTTTCAAACAAGCACTTAAAATCTGTTCCAATCCTTAGAGGCAATTTGTTCCAATATTTTGGACAGCCTAATTTTCAAATCATGGGAATCTAGTGATTAGAAGCAGAACAGACTAAATAGGATACTGTGTTCCTTGTGAGAAACTCAAGAGCAATCCTACAATTTCAGCAGCCAATTAATAACTGCTATCATAAAAGGTGCAATTGAGGCATGCCACGTTCAAAAGTAACATTTTACTTTGCCAATCCCAAGTATAACCTGATTTTGGCTGTCTTGTGTGCACAATTCACTAGAGTGAGCCATACAGAATTTTACTCTACTTCTCTTCAGGAAGTAGTTAACTATTAATTTTTCATCATCATCACAGTAAATATGGGTCAATTTTGAGCCCTCAGATTAATATTCACACAGTTCTGCAACACTTTGCTAAAATTCACAAAAGAATGAAATCTTCCTTTTAGTCAGATATGGATTAAAAGAGTCTCTGATGATATAATAACCCTGAAGAAGGGAGTTCCCACTAACAATTTTTCTCTGACATGGGAAGGAAGGTGAAGTTCTTTGCTCTGTTTTATTTTCCCTCCTATGCCTCATTAATTTTGTGAATACATTGTTTAGCACTTCTACTGTGATTCACATTTACACTCTTGTGAAGTAGGTATTGGCCTCATTCTACAAATGAGGAAATAAAAGCAGAAAGATTAAGAGGTTCATAGAATCATAGGACTGGAAGGGACCTCGAAAGGTCATCGAGTCCAGCCCCTCGCCCTCAAGGCAGGACCAAGCTCTATCTACACCATCCCTGACAGATGTCTATCTAACCTGTTCTTAAATATCTCCAGAGAGAGAGAGAGATTCCACCACCTCCCTTGGCAATTTATTCCAATATTTGACCACCCTGACAGTTAGGAATTTTTTCCTAATGTCCAATCTAAACCTCCCCTGCTGCACTTTAAGCCCATTACTCCTTGTCCTGTCCTCAGAAACCAAGAGGAACAAATTTTCTCCTTCCTCCTTGTGACACCCTTTAAGATATTTGAAAACCGCTATCATGTCCCCCCTTAATCTTCTTTTTTCCAAACTAAACAAGCCCAGTTCATGAAGCCTGGCTTCATAGGTCATGTTCTCTAGACCTTTAATCATTCTTGTCGTTCTTCTCTGTACCCTTTCCAATTTCTCCATATCTTTCTTGAAACGTGGCGCCCAGAACTGGACACAGTACTCCAGCTGAGGCCTAACTAGTGCAGAGTAGAGCGGCATCACAAGAGCACATCACAAATCAGTGTCAGACACAAGATTAAAGATAAGATTTCCTGACTCCAGTGTTCTGCTGTTTTTATTGGGCCAAGCTGTCTTTCCTGCCCTTTGGAAAGTTCAATACATTCACAGCCACTCTATAGCCATGTACTAGTAGAAATAGGAAATTTCCTAAATATATATTTAGCATTTAGGCAGTAAAAAGAGGAAAGTAAGGCTATTAGCAATGATGGATGTTTCAGTGGCAAGGAATTAAGGCCAAGTCTAGACTGCAGAAAAGACTGACACTGTGGCACTCAATTTTCTGGAATTCGATTTAGCAAGTCTAGTAAAGACCAGCTAAATCGAACTCTGAGGGCGCCCCTGTCGACACTGGGACTTCTAATCCTCAGGAGGAGTAAGGAAAGTCAACGATTTCTGCTGTCAGCCTCCCGCAGAAAGGATGGTCTCGAAGCTCAGCTTAAGGTATGTTGATTCCAGCTACATTTTTCACATAGCTGGAATTACATACGTTAAGCCGACTTTTGGTGGCAATGTAGACCTGGCTTAAGAGTCCCCTCCTGAGGTACAGAAGAATGGTATTGTTCACGGGCCTCTCATCACTTACTTAGGCTCCTAGTTCTAATAGTCATCTTTTCTATAACATCCAACACTTTTTCAAGGCTAAACTTCTCTGGCTTCTTGTTTTAGCCCTAAGGAGAAATGGTGCTAATTTAGATTCAATGGGGAACTAATAAGACTAACAATTAATTGCACACAATTAACTTTGAGAATTTAATTTCAGCAGGGAACAGTACTTTTAGTAAGTAGGCTGAACAAGATTCTAGGGCTACTGAAAGGTTTTTAAAAGGTTTTATTTTCTCAAGATCCATTTCTAAACTCCATCAAGAGAATGTCTGTAAATACTAAACTGCTTTGAGAAACATGTTCTCAATGGTCAGCCCCCTATTAGCCTACTAGTTTACTTCCTCTTCAACTTTTACAAAGGATAACAAAAAATAACTAAAGACTACCTAGGTGTCTCTTGACTACTGAATACTGGAGCCGTAAACAAAGGCCCCAAATAGCCAGTAAAAAGTCAATGATATACTGTATTTTACATAGTGGATAGCACTTAAGAGATAAATATAAAAAAAAAGATCCTTGCTCCTAAAATGTTACTGTATAGGTTTGAACACAATAAATAGCCTTCGATGTGTCGAAGGAATATCCAAACTAATGAAAAGATCTGCTTCCAGCCCCCACAAAGAAGAGGTGCTGAGACTAGGAATATAAAGGGTTAACCTGTTACCCAGTAAGCATTTGCCTTACCAGCATGCCTGGCCCAATCAATGCCTGGCCCAGCCAGAGCAGCCCCCCCACCTCAGACTGTAGTGTCATGGCGCACCACAATGGGTCCAGCCAGGCTGAAGCAGCACCCTTCTCCCCCAACTTGTTGCACAGAGTGGTGAGACCTGCCTAGCCCAGCCCGAGCAGCCCCTTGCCTGCAGTGTGGCAGGTTTACCTTGGCCCAGCCAGAGCAGCCCCCCTGCCCATACTGCAGCCCAGCTAGAGCAGCTCCCCACCAATGGGGCCAAGACCCACAGTTAACCATGTAACCAAAAGAATTTTGATTGATTACAGAGTTAATATTTTTATACATTTTACATCCTTCATAGCAACTGGTGTTTTAGACTTGCTTACAGTTAGATGAAGATTCTGATATGGCTATGGAAATTAGTAAAGAGAAAGATTATTCTACTACATCAACTCCCTGCCAGCTCCTGAAGAAATCAGCCTTATCTCAACTAGGGATGTAAAGCAATAAGTTGAGTAGTTGACTACTCTATAAGCATATGCTTATTGGGAAATCAAGTCACTACTCAACTAGTCGCTCCTCCCCCACCTTGCTGCCTCTATCAGAGGCAGCAAGGAGGGGAGCAGGAGCCGGTTCCCCCCAGCACCATCTCTGCAGAGAGGCAGGGGAGGATGAGGCATAGCGGGGGACCAAGCGCAAGCCGGGAATCAACTGATTCCTGGCTCGCGCCAGGTCCCAGATGCTGCACCTCTCTTTTTTAAATGGAATAAGAGCCAGGTGGGCTCTTACTCCATTTAAAAGGCAGAGCCACAATGGGGTTAGCTCCTGGGGTGGGGAGCTAACCCCACTGTGGCTCTGCAGTTTTCTCCCTTATCGACTAGTCAATGGAAATTCCATTGACTACTCAATTAGCTGATTAAACACAATTTAACATCCCTAATCTCAACTGAAGCTCAGAGAAGAAGGAAGTTTGGTATTCTGAATCCAGGTTTTTCCTCTGTCAATGTAGTTAATCTCCAAGAGACAATAACAAGGTCAATGGAGGAATTCTTTTGTTGATCTAGTCGCATCTACACCAGAGTTTAGGCTGACCTAACTAAGGCACTCAGGATGCAAAATTTGTACAGTCCTGAGCAACATAGCTAGATGGATCTAATTTTTAAGCATTAACCAGGCCTTAGACTTCTGGCTCTGCTACAAATGCCATATGTGAACAGAACTAACAATACCTCCACTTAATGAACACTCATACATTCAGCCTTGGTGCCAAAACAATCAAACCACCACATATCTTCTCTAGTAGAAAATACTATAGAACTACATAGTGCAACCAAACAAAATAAAACAAAACAAAACACAAAAAACTTCCTGGTCCCAATGCCACTCATTTCCTGACTAACAAATGCATCCAAACCAAAATCTAAATCTAAAAGCAATCTCATCTTCAGTAAAAAGCATATCAAACAGACTAGTCTGCTCCAGATTTCTAAGCACAACCCTAACAGCAATTCTCATACAGGTGAAATGGACAAGATTAAGGCAAGGTCATACTGAATGTGGGATCAGTGACAACAAACTATAAATGGAAGCTTGGAGATGTATAGCACAACACAAAATGCATTCAACCAACATGTGAAAAGATACAATTAAATGGAGACTGTTCCAAAATAAAAGGTTAATAATTATTCCACAAATCATTAGAAATTGTGAAACTTTCCAATGAAAAGCAAGGAAAACTACGTAATCTATGAAAAAAGGAAGAAATTCAAGGTTAATAGCCCCTATTCACCATATTTGAAACGGCAAATATGACAAACTGATACAGGGATAGAAATGTAGCCATATTAGTCCTGTTTTTTGTTTCAGCTACACCAAACTATGTAGCACTTTAAAGACTAACAAGATGGTTTAGTCAAATGAATACATATGAAAAGGACAAATCAAATTTCAGTATAGAAGGGGAATGGGGGGGGAAGGTAAATGTGAGTTAATGATATTAGAGGTGATAACTGGGGAAGCTATCTTTGTAATGGGTAAGATAATTAATGTTTTGTTCTGAAATTTGATTTGTCCTTTTCATATGTGTTCATTTTTTTAAATTGTATCCTTTGGTATATATGGTTGTGACAATTTTCTTCCACTGTTTGATCTGAGGAAGTGGGTCTGGCCCACGAAAGCTCATCACCTAATAAACCATCTTGTTAGTCTTTAAAGTGCTACATAGTCCTGTTTTTTGTTTCTGATACAGGGAATAAACTCTCAAATATTACAATGATCCCCTAAACAGATGTCTGATGTACTCTGGTACCTCAAAAGATTGTGTTTTGTTTACTTGGGTGCTTTATAGCCTTTCAAGCCCACAACAAAAAAATTCTGTTTGAATTTACTTTGGTCTAGGGTTGTAATATATTCAATTAACTGATAAGCAAAAGCTGATTAATGCTATAGACTACACACACCCTATCCCCTGCCAGTAAATTTTTTAGCAGGCTGGCCAGCAGCCTGGCTTGTGCTGGATCTGGGACCTACCTCCGCTGCGGCTCTACATTTAAAGTGTATTAGGAGCCAGGCGGGCAGGCAGCCCGGCTCAGTTCCGGCTTGTGCTGGGTTCAGGAGCTCAGACCCCTTAGACAGGGGCTGCTGGAACCCCATGCTGCTGCCTCTGTATCATAGGCAACAGTGTGGGCCAACAGGCAACCAGTCCATGAGGGGAGCTGGTTTTTAAACTGGTTCCCCTCATGGACCAACTCTCACCTGGTACTCTATGCTGATACAGAGGCAGCAGAGCAGAGTGGCAAGGGACTCCCTGGGAACGAGGCCAGAGCACACACTGCCAGCCCCACCTTGCGGACTACAGAATAGTCGAGTAACCAGTAAGAATTCATGAGGTTAATTGACTATTCATTTATGTTATTTAACATCCCTACTTTGGTCAAGTTACTTTAAGATGACCTGAACAATTTAAAAAGAAAAATGTAGGCTTGTCCTTTTTTTGTGAGCACTACTATAGATGTGTGAGTAAAAGAGACCTGAAATGATTTTTTCTGCCCTTCCTGTTTTTAAACTTTAGAACGTTCTGTGTTTTTCCTACTTGGGGACCTCATGAGTCTCTCAGGATACATCTACACTACAAAGTTTTATCACTAAAAATTGCCTTTTGGAAAGACAACAGCGAGAACATTCACACAACTTTTACTGGGGAAAAATACCTAGTTTCAGCATCAAAAAACTTTCACTCAATTAGAGACCTTTTTCTTTTTTCCTGGTACAAAGAAATACTAAGAGGCAACATAGATTCTACTGTGTGTTTTGTCCAGGATAGAACTGGCTCCCGCCAATATCCCACAATGCCTCCCCTGATGGCTCTGTTCAGTGTTTTGTTCTCTGCTGTCTTGTAGGCATGCACGCCTCCCCTTTGAAAGCTCTGGGAAGTATCTGACAGCTCAGTGAGCTATTCAGTTTGGTGAACAAAGAATAAATCATTGGAATGCTCCTGTTCTGCCCTGCAATAGGAAGACAGCATCAGGCAGACTGCTGCTGCATGGGGAAAGAGGCAGCATTCCTCAGCATGGAGAGTAATCAATCAATAAGGTAGGAAGCCTGAGGAAACCAAGGGCTCCTGGCAGGGCTGGGATCCAAGGCAGTGCTAAGCAGGGCAGGGATAGGAGGAATTCTGACACACGAGGCTGGTTGGACTGAAGGCAGCAGTTGCCCTGGAGACTAATGCTCAGATCAAACTCAGCAGTGCTGCCCACTGCAAAAGTGGGAGGAGAGGGCCACACCTATCTGCCCTTCCACTCTCACCACTGAAACAGAGCTACTCGTGATGATGCCCCATCAGCTGAGGATGCTGAGAGAACTAAAAGAATCACAAGGTGTGCAGGGTTCAGCTCTGCCTTCCCACAACACTGCACTGTGGGATACATACCCACAGCGCATTGCTCACACTGTCGATGATGGTGTCCCCAATGTGGACTTGATCTGTCAAAACAGGGAGCAACTGTGAACAATTTTTGTTTTGTCTACTTTTAGGTGTAGACATTCCCTCAGATAGGTGTATTGTGACATCTTACACCTTCACTGACGGGTTTGGGTGTAGAACCATTAACAATTTGTGAAAAGAATGCATGACTGATTAGACATTAATGTTAATTATTCAAAATTGGAGTTTTAAACAATCAGAGTTTGTCTTCACTTTAACTGTTTTAACACAGTGCAGTCACAGCAAAAGTGCTAGGAGAACACTTGTTCAGCACTTTAAGTAAACTACCTCAAAGAAGGGAGACGCTAATAGTGCTGAAAGCAGGGCAGCACTATCCACACTGGTACTTTACAGCACTGTAACTTGGTGCGTGTGGTGGGGGGAGGGCGGAGTTCACATCCCTAAGCAGAAAGTTACATTGCAGTAACTTGCCACTGTAGGCAAGCCTTGACTAAGACATCCTTCCCCTCTCAGTCATTCAGCTTTCATTCTTGATTATTACAAATACCATCCATTTGCTACTTCTTCCGTCACCCTAGTCTGGACACTCAAGACCTCAAATTCTGGTGTAAAAAAAACAAAAAAAATATCCTCAACTTCTGAAGAGGGACAAAAACCCAATGCCATGCAACCTCTTTGTTTATCAAGTTTCTGATATATAAACTAATGGTACTTAGCTATCTCACGCCGATATGTAAAAAATTTCTATTATTCCTGCAATGGCCTGTTGCAGAAGCTCCGTACCATGCTCAACTTAATCTTCCATACTGCAATACAGAATCTGTTTTCAGAAACCAGCGAGCAGCAGGCCTGCCCCAGTTCGCGGTGAGCGCAGGGTGACTAGAGTTTGCGTTGGGCTAGACAGGGAAGAGCTTCCTCCCAGACAGATGCATCGCTTCGCTTTCAAACAAGAACCATCTGCTCGCACGCTACAGCCCTTTAACCGTGGGGCTGCGCGTCAGAGGCTGCGGAGACGGGGGGTCCTGTACACACGCCGCGCATCATTTACTGCCCTTCGCCGCCTGTACCAGCGCTCCTCTGGCAAACAC